TTTTACTAAAAACAGTATATATTACATATCGATAGTATATATATTTCGCTCCGCTATAAAAGCGGCCGACGGCGAGGGCTAGGACATTATATACGTAGATAGCGCGACGCGTAGGTGCTTTCTAATCTTAGTAGTAATATTAGTAGACTATAAAGAGCAAGTTACAATTACCGGAGTTAAGACAAACATACATTGCCTAAGTTGCCTAGTATACCCGATAGAACGAGAGCACCTCGATATTATAGTAGAATAGCGGTTATATAAATCTACGAAGCAGCGATATCTAAGGCAACGCAAAGGCGAATACATAGCGAAGGATCTATAGAACGTCTACGACATCGATTGCTTTATATAGCGCTAGAAACACGTCGATATATACTAGTCTTTAGTAGTAGACACACTATACTAGCTACTAAAAGGAGTGCTAATATACGCAATCTAATAGACTACAGACCTACTAGTAGACAAGATAAGCTATATAAAAACGAGGAGATACCGACTAGTTACCGACTCGACCCTAAATAGGGGCCTGTCTACTAAAATAAGAAAGCTAGGGAAAACAGTAGTATAAGGGATTATCGATACGATACTAGATAGACGGTTCGCATATATACCCGTATATACTAATCTTTGCAAGTTCTACTACTACTTAGTAGTTACTTAGTAGACAGGCTAAGAGTAGCAAAGCGTCCTACGAGTCTTATTAGTTGTATTTATACTACTACTCGAAGAGGTCCGTTAACCGTAGGCGATAAGATTTCTATGTATACTAGTAGACTTTACCGTTCTAGCGATATATAGATGCTATAACGACGAAACAGTTAAGTATCTTAGGATAGCATTATACCGGATAAACGAATAGAAGAATGTGTTTCGCTTATATAGGGTAACAAAGGTATAGAAGAGGGCCTAGCGGGAGGCGAAGGCTACTACGCGAAGAACGAACGATTTAAATAACGACGATGCGGTTACAATAGACGAGGACGACGAAGCTAACGAGCTAATAATAACACAAATAGAAGGGCACTTTAATATACCGAAATTCTACGGTATAATATATGCCCCGAGCTATATTAAGACGTTCGGCAATCTTCTAGACTTAAATACTAGCCATTTCGAGTATAAATACTATAAACTACTAAAGCTTGTATTTCGGCTAATAAATAAGAAGCCTAGCTAGGAAGAAAGTGTACTAGATAGCGATACTAATAGATTAAATATATAGGCCGAAGACGATAAAGAATATATAGCAATCTCTACAAATGCTCGCACTATTAAGGAGTATACGCAATAGCTAATAATGCTAACTATAGTACGGCTAGTAGAGGATATCCTAGGATACTAGCCCGAGAAATAGAGGAACGGAAAGAAATCGGTTAAGTAGATTACGATAAGGGAGGCTATAGCTACAATAGAAGAGAACTTAGGTCGCGACTTCTAATAAGCGATTGCGGTATTCGTACGGCAATAGGGTGCCTACGATAAGAATAGCGTATTAAGCACCGTAGCCGACCCTAACGATATCGTAACGGACTATATATACGTCCTAGACATAGAGATCTACTTCTACGGCAGAATCCGATACTAGAAGCCTACAGGTAAGGATATAGAACATCCTAACGTAGTAGTAGCCGACTTCGCGAGATATATACTAAACTAGGAGGGGCTCTACGGTAATAGACGTTATAATTTTATATAGGTATAGGAATACAACGTTAATTATATAGAAACACCTAATAAATTAGCGGTTCGATTCGGCGGTCGCCTACTAGCTTAACTAAAGTACGTAATCTCGATTAATATAGAAATAGGAATCAAATATAGGAAGGGGCTTAGGACGAAACGGAGGCCCGTTATAGGCGTTTTTATTAAGCTTTACGACTATATTAACGACAAGAGCGAGTATAAGGATACGTATAGTCTAACGACAATCCGGCTACGGCGTCTTTTATTATACTATAGTAGACTTAAAGGGCGACGGGTATATAGCCTACTACTAGTCTATTATATATTATACGCCGTACCCGTAGACGAAGGCGCCCCGTATAGGACTCGCTATATTAATAGTATAGTTAATTTCGAGACGTATAACACAATTTACGACGAGGAATAGAAGGATAAGGAAATGCGAGCTATAAAGGCTTACGGGCGAGTAATAAAAAGGCAACGTACTATATAGAGTATATAGAAATCGTACCTCCGAAACATAGAGGATAATAATACTAAGGCGGCGAAGAATGATTTTATAGTTTATAGAGAACGTATAAGATAGGATGTAGCGACATATAGTAACGACAGTTAATATAATAGTAATATACTTAAAACTATAGTACTACTAGTATATTCTAGTTTAGACCGAGTCGACTAATACGACCGAGTCGACGAGTCGATAAGTATTAATATAGCACTATACGAATAGTATAAACACTACTAACGACTACGACTATAAGCGACCTAGAGCGATCCTATATATATAAAAATTTACTACGTCGATCGCGTCGATCGCGTCGATCCTATCGATTCTAAGCGATCTAGGCGCAAGTCGGATCGCGACTCGGTCGCTTAGGATTGCTTAGGATCGCTTAGGATCGCTTAGGATCGATAGGATCGATAGGATCGACGCGATTAGAAAAAATGTTTTCGTAACGTAGTATAGGAATTAAACCTACGACCTCTTAGACCCTATCGATTATAGCGCCTTAGAGTTCTTAACGACCTAGGGTAGTACAGCTCGAGGAGCGGGGACTCTAATAGCGTACCTAGCAACTATGTCTTTTATAGCTAAGAATTATACTACTAGACTAACTAGCTAGAAGATAAAATAGATAGAAAACACTAAAAATATATACCTTTAGGATACTAGATTCTCGGCACTCCTACTAGGGATTTTAGAGACAGGCTAGGATGTCCTATCTAGACGACTCTAGTTATAAGGAGATATCTATAATCGGCTATTTAGGGGAAACGGCTCGTTAGTAGGCAACGAAAATAATATCGGCTCTATAGGCGAAGAGCCTAGCTCTCTTTCGAGCTCCTCCGCCTATTAGATAGAGGCTTCCTCTGCCTTAAGAGCTTATACCTCCCGATCTTCCTTTATATATAGCGACTTGCGTAAGCGGCGGACCTTTACGCGGTACTCGAAGAGTCTCCGCGTAAGGAGGTCCTCCTCCTCTTTAGGCGCCTTAAGATCTTTAGCTATCTTTAGGCGCGCTTTCCGGATTTTTTTATACTCTATACGAGTAACTTATATATTATAGGACTAGCTATATAGGGCGTACTCGGAGTAGCGACCGGAACGAAGATCGACCTTATAGGATTTACTAGCCTATTCGTAATAAAAGTAGCGGATTAGTATTTCGAAGCAGTCGGCGAGGATATTATTTACGATATTTTCCTTACGCTAGCGAGAAGATAAGTCCTTCGATAACTTTAGTATAATAAAGAAGTTAGAATTAGAAAGTTCCGGAATAAGGGACTATTTCGCTTAAGGAGGGGGATAGTATTACGGATCTAATTAGTTAAAGTCCTTATATAATCTTAGAGCGACGCTAAGACTAGAGGGCTAAGCTATCGCTCTATCTTACTAAGAGCGATAGAAGCGGTCGAGAGCGATAGCGTCGCTTACGTCGCTTACGACTATAGATAAGATATCTCCTTTATATTTAGGAACGCCGGAATACTCTTATAGCTCGAGGCGTTTAACTTATATTACCTACTTACTAATTAGAATTACCTTTATACTAATTATTCTATCTCCGCCTTCCGCTTATATTAGCCTCTCTAAAGAAGCCTCGGCTTATACGTAATAAGAAGTTACCTAACGATCTATCGCGAGTAACCGTAATATACGCGTACGCGTATACGGACGATAGTAAGCGAGATATATAGAGTCGTAGGATAGATCCGAGTAGTAGGAAGGAACCGGAAGATAGGGAAGAGCTAGGAGAAATATATTTACTTAAGAGCGGTTAAACGAGTTCGTATACGCGCGCCGCGTAAGTTAGCTAGGAAATAAAGTCGCTACGAGATAGCGGATAAGCGGGATATATACGCGCGCGCTTAGCGCGTAAAGAAGGACCGGAAAGTAGAGGTTTACTAAAAGGTAAGTAAGTAAGATATCTATACCTATACTTATATATCGGACGCGCTAGACGCCTATAGGGTAGGATACTAAGGAAGGGGCTCTCCCTCTAAGGTATCTAGATAGTAGCTATATTAATTTAGTGCTCCCTTTAGTTTAGTTTAAAGTTTAGTATATATTCTTACTACTTAGCCTCTAACCCTTATAGATATTATATTATATTATACTATATTATATTATATTTTATTACTAGTAGTAGAACTTGCTCGTCCGAGCCTAAGTCCTACTAGACTTATTCTTCCGAGTCCTTACTAAAATTTATTAGTAAGCGTCGTTATATTCTAAATCTTAACTTTACCTTACTCCCTAACTACTTAAATTCGATCTCCTTATCCCTTTATCTTACTCTCGATTAGTATAGTCTATAATTAATCTAGGATTATAATCTAGATTAGCTTAGCAATTTAATCTAATCTAATCTAGCTTATTCCTACTAACTAAGTAATCTAATTGAATTTAATCTAGCCCCTTTCTAAAGCAATCTAATTTAATCTAGCCCTTTCTAAAGCAGTCTAGTTTAATTCCCTCCCTCTAGAAGGGGCTAGAGGGCTAAATTAGGTAGGCTTAGTAATTTAATCTAATCTAATCTCGCCTAGTCCTACTAATTTAGCAATCTAATCTAATCTAATCTAGCCCCTATTAAAGCAATCTAATTCAATCTAATCTAGGGGTCCTAGCAATCTAATTTAATTTAGGGGGGGTCTAGATTAATTAGATTAATTATAGACTATACTGTCCGAGCCTAAGTCCTACTAGACTTATTTTTCCGAGTCCTTACTAAAATTTATTAGTAAGCGTCGTTATATTCTAAATCTCGACTTTACCTTACTCCCTAACTACTTAATCTCGATCTCCCCTTTCACTCCCACTCCCACTACTCCCTAAAAACTTCCACTCCCCCTCGGAAAACAACCGCGTATCCCCCACCCACTCCTTCCACAGTATCGAACTCCTCTTCAACACCCCATACCTCGAATCGAAGTCGGAGAATTTTCGTAATGCTGTGCGTTGCGGGAAGTTGTTGTTGTTGTTTTTTCGTGGGAGACGTTTGAGGTGCGTGACGAGAGTGGAGATTTCGGAAGGGATGGGGGCTGTGCCGGGTTGGAAGGTGATGTGTGGGGGGAGGGAGGTGGGGGGTCGGCGGTTATGGGTGGTGGTGGGATTTTTGTTCTTCTTCTTCTTTGGTTGGGGGTTTGGTGGTGGTGGTGGTGGGCTTGAGGGGGGTGTTTTTGGATTTGAGGATTCTGGTGGTGGTGGTGGTGTTTTGGAGTGGTCTGTGTAGATGCTGCCGGAGTCGGAGGTGTTGGAGGTGATGCTTTGGGTTGGATTTCGATTTCTTGGGATTGGTCGAGTCTTGCTTTCGTCGAAAGGGATTTGGGCGCCTGAGTCTCGTCGGGTTGGGAGGGGCATTGTTGCTGGGAGGAATCGGGATTGGCTGGGTGGTGCAGTGTCGTCGGATTTCGAAAATAGTGCTGGGATCGTTTGCGGCGAAGGGCTTGGGATAGCAGTGGTTGGATCGATGCCGATGATACCGGGCAGTACTACGATCTTTGATGGAGCGTTTGTATTTTTTCTTGGTGGTGGATTCGGGATCGGTTGCAGATTTGAAGGAGGTGGCTGCTGACGACTTCCCAATGGCCTGAGAGGCACGACCTCGTTTTTCTCGAAGTCTCTGGAAGAGAAGAGAAACTTGTTGTCCCATGAGAACTCTGGTCGGGGTATGACCGGATGTAGCATCAAATCTCGAGGGTTTACGAATTGCGGCAGGTTTATGTCTGGTGGTGGCACAGCCGGCCAGGTGGCGTTGGACTTGCGGTGTGTGTCTTCAGCTCTGGTCAGGGCTCTGGCAATCATCGTCTTTTGCGTGCTTTCCGGGTCGAGTTTTCTTCGCTTGTTCGGATGCATGTCATGGGTGTGTAGGTGCGGGTCTTGGAATTGCATCTGAGATTGGTGATGTATCTGGCGTTGATCGCCACTTCCATATCCAGTCGCATGGAAGCCTGCCGGCGCATACTCGAGTGCGTGTTGTCGCATGGTCCGCGTGTATGGTGTATGTTTGGTGGATGCGGACGGTTGAGTGCGAGAGGGGAGAATGATGTTGTCTGACTCGGAGGCCAAAGTGAGATTATCTAAGAATGGCTTTGTCATGTGAAGTGAGCGCTATTCACGTCGACGCGTGAAGCTTCTTGTCGGAGGTTGAATGAGTGCATGTGAGGAGTGGGAGTTTGTGCAAAAGGAAATATCCATCTACTCACGCACATGTGGCGCGAATGTGAAAAGTAGAGGCAAGGCAAGAGCTACACGGTCGAGGCTTCTCAAGCAGTGTCTTCTGCGAGCATGTATAGGTGTTGTCGCTGAAGTCATGGCATGTAGAAGACGGAAGACGCCGAGGGCAGCAGAAGCTTTCTGAGGACGGGATGGCGAAAGGCTGATGCCAAGACAAGGCTGTACTTGCTTAGGCTTTCGCGAAAGGCTGGGCGAGGCCACTCGCACTCCCACACACTCGCACGCTGTCGCCGAGCAATTTCGCGCTGAGCTGGAGACGATACCGCCGTGTTCTTGCCCGTGCCCGTGCCCGTGCCCGTGCCCTTACTTCTGCCCGCCCAACTTCAACTTCAACCTCACGTCGACCGGTGAAGCGCAGCACTGCAGGCCGTTGACGCCGCTCCACTTTTGCTGCCGACAGACCATACCACGGACCACGTGATGGCCTTACGCGAATAGAGCAGACGTTCTACTTCGCCTTTCCTATTGTCCTGCAAGTGCCCGAGAACGAATTTGACGGCCGGGGAACGCCGTGAGGACAGTACGGCTGCCGGAGCAGAGGATGCACTGAGCGTTGGGCCACTTTCGGAAGGCAAAGGTCGCAAGGCTGCGCAAATACGGCCGCATCCCGCTCAGCAGAATTGGCAGCGCCAGATCAGGCTGCTCTCGAATGCATGTGGTGAGTACGCTGATTTCCCCCTTCTCACGACGGCAGTGCGAGACGCTGTGTCCTTCCCCCCGCGCCGTTGTGAGGACTGACGACGGCAGCAGCAGCATCATCACCCCTCCACCGCTCCACCCCTCCACCCCTCCAAACTTTCCTATTGTCCTCATTCACCGTCGCCCGCGGACACATAGTGGTCCCAGCTTCGACCCACTCAGCGTGGACCTTCCTGCAGTATCGTCTTCTGTCTCTTGCCCTTTCGACTTCCGCACCGCACCCGCACCCGCACCCACACCACCCACACACCTTCTGCCATTTACAATCGCCCTCTTTGACATCTTGACCACACTCGCCACCACTCTGCCATCTACCACCTTGCCATCTTGCGCACCACCATCCGCCACCCACGTACTTTCGCTATCTTCAACCTTTGCGCACCACCGCACCGTTGGATATCAACCACCATCTTTCCCACACATCAAAATGCCCACGGAACAGCGCGTTCGTTATGAGCTGACACCCGCCATGATAATGGAAGCCTTTCTCGACCATAATTGTAAGTTGACAGCCATCCTCTCAACTCGCATCTCCCGCTCACACCTGCGCAGTGATTAAGAAGACCGACGACGAGAACATCTTCGAGCTCCCCGAACCAGACGAGAATGGCTTCATCGTGAGGCATTACATGTGCGACGACGAGGATGGGAAGCCACTTGGAAACCCACCACCGGAGGTTTTGAAGCTTCCCCCATACGAGGTGCCCAAGATGCGCAAGACCCAGCCCTACAACCCATACCTTCATTCACACAACGAATTCGAGGACCGCCTGTACTACATGCTGAAGTACGAGATCGCAGAGATGGATCGCAATGCCATTCAATCAGACTTCAATCACCTGGCCCTCCCACCTATGTCGCCCGAGCGAGAGCCTCCATACATGATGGAAGTCCGCAAAGAAGTCCAAGAGGCACACCCAGACGCTCGAGGCGCGGTGTTGGGAGAACTGATATATGAGGCAACGAAGAAGCATATCTACGCCATCCAGCAGGGCGAGGCGGCTCTCGTCAGCGGCGTCCAGGACGAAAGCAGACCAGCACCGACCCAGCAGAATGAGCCGAAATTGAACACCACAACAACACCCAACGAAGTCATCGTCATTGAAGATTCGCCTGTCCAAGCGCACGCCGCGCCTGTTGCTCCCACATATGCTCCGTCATCGGCAAGCGAGAACCCACAAGATCTCGCTGTGCAGTCTCAACTGGCTTTCGAGGAGCAGCAGCGACAGCAGCATCGACAGCAGCATCAACAGCAGCAGGTCAGAGCTGCAAGCCGGCCTCCCAGCCAGAACACACAGCGTCCACCGCAAGCTCTGCAAAGGCCGCTACCAGCTGCCAGGGCGGCGACTCCAAAGAATGCTACTGCCAACATGCGCTATGTCGCTGCCACCACTCCGCACGCACCGCACAAAATTATGAAGAACGTCCCTCAGAACACCGCTCGTCCACAGTCGCGATCATGCGCACCAGCAGTAGGCGCAGCGTCGGTCAGAGTATACCGCGGCCAGGCACGAGGAGTGCCACAAGCTCTGCACGCTTCTCGATCCATCGACCCGAGACAATTTGAGGCATTGCGCCAAATGTACGGTCAGAAACAGCCACCATTGACACAAGCTCAGATGCCCGTCATGCCTGCTGTCACGCCAGGTCACTCCCAGGCAGGGCGTCAGCACATCTCGCAATCGCCTGCCATGTCGGGTAAAGCACAATCGCGACATCAGCACATCCAGCGCCAACAGGTGCAGCCAGTCGGTGGAACTCAGACTGTCAACCCTCAGGACTTGCAGCGAAAGCCTCAGCAGCATCTCCAACACCAACAGGTGCAGCCAGTCGGTGGAACTCAGACTGTCAACCCTCAGGACTTGCAGCGAAAGCCTCAGCAGCATCTCCAACACCAACAGGTGCAGCCAGTCGGTGGAACTCAGACTGTCGACCCTCAGGACTTGCTGCGAAAACCTCAGCAGCAAGACACCCGTCAGCTGCCAAAGCACACCAACCCCGACTTCGCGCTTCAGCAGATGCAAGCGAGTCGACAGCTGCAGACGATTGGTGAGCAGCAGACACCAACTATGCGCCCTAAATCGGTCTCAACAGGACGGCAGACGCCAGTGATGCCCCAACACATGGCCCAGACACCAACGGTCTCAACAGGCCGGCAGACTCCAGTGATGCCGCAAAACATGGCCGCAATGGGAAGACAGACACCAGCGATGCAGCAAGACGCTGCTGAAATGTGCCAGCAGACTCCCTCAAAGCGCCAGAAGACGTCTTCAACAGGATGGCAGACACCATTGATGCATCAAAAAACGGCTGTGATGGGTCAGCAGACTCCAACGCGGAATCAGATGCCAGCTGACCAAATCACACCAAGCGGTCGCCAAACGCCAGCGATGCAGCAGCAGATTTATCAAGCGCCGGCGATGCAACAGCAGATGCAGTCTGACCAACGAACGCAGATGATGCAGCGTCACACTCAGGCTATGCAGAGGAAGACACCAATCGGCCAGCAGACGCCAACGACGGCGCCAATGACGCAGCAACAACTGCAGTCGATGCGACAGCAGATGCCAAATGGCCAGCAGACACCGATGAAGACACCAGCAATGCAGCGTTCGGTATCGGCCAGCCAGCAAACACCTACGAAGGCACCAGCAGTGCAGCGTGGTACTCCCGCAATGGGAGTGCAAATGCCAACCGGTCAGCAGACACAAGTCATGCAGCATCAAATGTCGGAAATGTGGCAGCAGATTATGACTGGCGTGCCACAGTATCAGAACGCAGCGATGCAACAACAGATGGCAATCGGCCAGCAGACACCACTGATGCAACATCAAATGCCGGTCACTCGAGAGGAGATGGCTCTCGTGATGATGCAGCGTCGGATGCAGGCGCAGGCGCAGGCACAGCAGATGCATCTCGGCCAGCAGACGCCAATGATGCAGCAATATCAGACTCCGGCGATGCAGCACCATCAGACTCCAGCCATGACCCAGCACACACCGAACGGCCAACACCAACCGCCTATGAAAAAAGCGCACGAGCGTGAAGTCTTGAGGCAGATGATGATGCGTCGGAACAGCAGCCAACAACAGCAGCTGCAGAATCGACAGCAGTACCAACAGCAGTTTCAACAGCAGCAGTATCAACCACAGCCACAGATCACCACTCCACCACAACCACGACTCCCGCAAATGAGCGAAGATGAAATCATGAATCAATTCTTCTCAGACTTGTCATAGATTCGAAGGAAGCGATTGGATTGTGGAACCTCTTTCGACTTTTCATCATCATCAACAGGCGGCAGCTGCAGCGTCCATTCCCGAAATTTTTGTTCAAGCGCGCAAAGGAAAGGCAAGGCGTTGGATGGACATGCGACATGATTATCTTCGAGCGGGCGTCGACTGGAATTTTGGGAACGTGCAAAGCCGTTGAATGGACTTTTTTGTATTCGTTATACATGCATGAACGAGCGAGCGGGTATCGATGAGTGCGTTGGATTCGGTCGTTAGGCGTTTGGTGGTGTTTGAGATGCAATGCAATGCATATACCAGATTGGACCAGAGTAGATCAGACCGTGACATATTGTTGGGTTTTGTTGTTTGAAAAGGAAAGAAGATTTGTCGATGCTTCTGCTCTCTTCTGCTCTGCTCTGCTCTAGTGTATCCATCGTTTCCAAGGGGTTGTCATCGTAATACGTAGCGTTGTAGTCTTTCCCACTCCGGTTTTTTGTTTTTCCTCTCTTAGAATTCTTCCTTCCTTCCTCTTTCTACTCTTATCGAACTACTCTTCCGATCCTCTTTCTACCTTCCGTCTTCTTCCTTTTTCATCTTTCTATACCCTCCTCCTCCCTCTTTCCCTTTATCAAATCTTACGTAGAATACTCCCTCCCTCCCTCCTCTCGATTAAATTCCTTGCAAGAAGAAGAAAAATTCCTTTTTTTTTGGTTTGCCTGTTTTTTGAAAAACGTAAGGAAGGTCCCTCCTTCCTTCCCTCCCTCCTTATCCATATTAATTCGCTCGCCTCTCTCTCTCTCTCTCTCTCTTCACACCAACACGATTTTTTTTTTATCTTTTAATTTGGCTCCATTCAGTTTTTTTTTTTTTAAGTATTAAATGTGAAAAAAACCCCCCCGGCAGAAAAAATCTTTCCCCCAACAACGTCAAAGAGTAATACAGAAGCTTTTTCCACCAAAAGACTGGGAATTATGCTGGAGTCTGTCCATGTGATGTGGGAATATGAGGCCGAGGTCGAGGTCGAGGTGGAGGTGGATTGGGTTGGGTTGGGGATGAATGAAAAAAAAATTTGAGATGGAGCGGAGGGAGGCGAGATGTTGGATTGGGGGCGGGTTTCGGATTAAGGTAGAATAGGGGAAGGTGGTGTTGAATGCTTGGATGATGGGGGAACAAAAGTTCGGAGTGTATTGGATTGTGCTGCGCTGGCTTCGGAGGGGATGGAATTGTTTGAGGGCGGTGGCGATTGAAGGAGGTTCCATTGGTTGTGGATTGCTCGTCGGAGAAGAATGTGTCCCAGAAATTCCATGTCGTGGTCTTCGTGCTTGTCGGTGAAACGTGCCATGACGGTTGCAGAATTCTCGACAGGTCCGCGATCTTGCAGGAGACGAAAGCTCTGCAAGTTGGGCTCGACGTAAATTTTTCCCTTTCGACATATTTGGCAGCTGCAGGCATGTGGTCGTTTGGAGTTGTCCTGGGATTGCCTTTGGAAATGGCCAGGTCAGACGTACGAGGCCGGAAGATTTCATCTTTTCGGATTGGGATATTGGCAAGCAGCGTCATCTGATTTGGGCGTTGCAGTCGAGATATTTATTGTACGCAAGATAGATTTGTTTTCATGTTTTCTTCGTGAGATCAAGTGCTCTCGACAAAGCTCGTTCAGCTGTAGCATCCGTGGGAGGTGGCGGCGTCGTGCTGGATACATTCTGCGAAAGCAATATTGCAAGCGTTTCTGTTCCTGGAATGCGAGGTCAAGGCTGTAAAGGTAGTTGGAGTTCTTGAAGATGTTTCAACTGCCCAGATGGCTTGCGATACAGACAGATCACCGTGCTCGATATACTCCTTTCCCAAAGACGATGTTCGCGAGATAGTACGTCTCAGGCAAATGATGCCCGTCTGTGCTCCAGAGCAGTTTGGTCGTTGATGTGATTTCGAATGCCGGTCAATGATCTGCTCCTGTCCATCTCGAGACACCCACCATTGGGGGCAGAATTCTCCAAGATCCAGAAAGACGTTATTGGAGGCCATTGCAAGACTTCCAGCTTCTCGGCTATATGGGTGAGATGAGTGAAGAAGCACGAACAGTACATCCTTGAATGCGCTGATTAACCTGCTGGGTTGGGGTCGAGAATATCGATATCATTGTCATTAGGACCAGTATGGAATGAAACTGGATCGGTTGGGTACCTGTAATATCCTCTGACCGCGCGGGTTCAGCATTCATGCCGTTGCTCTTGAACACGTACACAATGCGGCAGAAAGTCACGTCGAAAGCTTCCAAGCCCAGCCTCCGCAACTTCCGCATCCACGCTCAATCCAGTCCGATATCATAGTACGCTCTCGAAGCCTACCACTTCCTTGTCGACGATCGCCGCAGTGATGGTTTGGCTGCGATGAGCGTCGCCCAAGCCTGCTCCTCATCCGCAATTGCTACACCTGCAGGTCGCTTGGCTTTCTGGTGCCGAGACGAGAGCTGCGACAGCCTCTATGCGCAAAATGCGTTTGCATGGTGTGGTTGTGAATTTTTCGTGCCAGTTTTAGGGCTCAAAGTCTCCATCCAACCCATCCTCAACCAAGATGGTATGTGTACCCTCCAGACACTTCTTGATAAGAGCATTTGCATTTGTTTCCAATATCTCTTGACGTTCGCGTCCCAGTGGTGGTCGTAAAGCTGTCCGAGCAGCTCGAGAAATGTGGCAGAGCAGAGCAGAGGTGTGATGATGCAGTGCCTCGCCTCCAGCTTCCTAGGCTGCGCTCAGTACGTCGGCGGCTTTGGGGGGAGGGCAGGCAGTCGTAGCAAGTTTTGTGTGTGATTGTCGATAATCGGCGTGTTTCGTGTTCGAATTGCCCGGCATGATTCCACTGGGGCTTGTCCAGGCCAACATCTGACTCAACCACCATCTTGGTACATCGCAGCAGCTGCAACGACTGCCACGTGCATGTTTGAGGCTTCCATGGTATAGTTCAGCTCAAGTAAGGTGCAGAGCAGAGCGCAGAGACGCCGTGGTGAAAGTTATCTGTGTGAGAATTTCCCCTGGTTACTGCAGCAGGTAAGCGCTCCGTATTCGCGAAGACGGAGCTCTATACACACCAGATTGTCAATGAAGAATTCACAACGCAATCTTTGCCCCTACAAGTTCTTTTTAATATATCTTTTTATCTAGAGGAGTTATAGCTTAATAATATAGGACAAAGATACTCTAATTTATGTATATTTTTAGAAAATATTAAAATTTCTAGTCGTTGCCTCCTAAATTAATAAGCTATATAGCTTAAAACTCTAAGTTAGAGATTTTAGAATTTTAGCGTTTTCTTGAGTCTTAATATACTATTTTTAGTAATCTAAAAACTAGGCCTTATAGTTTTACTTAATAAAAATCTATTTTGAGATTTTTCTCGTAATATAGCTACTATTAGTTCTATAATCTAGAATTTAAAACTTAAATTCTTCTTAGGTTCCCTTTCGTATATCTTTTTCTTTAGACGAGTTATAGCTTAGTAATATAAGACAAAAATAATCTATTTTCAATCTAGTATTAGAAAATTACTAAAATTGTTATAGCTATCTACTAGGATTAGCCTAAAATTCTAGAATAAAGATTTTAAGACTTTTGCTTTTTTTAAGCCTTAGTATACTATTTTTAGTAATCTAAAACCTAAACCTAATAGTTTCACCTAGTAGGAATCTATATTAAAGCTTTTACTTTAAATAAGCTATAAATAGTCTTATAACTTAGAAAAGAATATTCTTAAGAATTGTAAACTTTAAATTGCTAAGCCTACAATTGTTAAGAATATTCGCTTTAGGATTTTAAGACTAATAGTAAGCGTATTAAAATAAGAATCTCAAAATATATTTATACTAGGTAAAACTTTTAGGTCTAGGTTTTAGATTACTAAAAATAGTATACTAAGGCTTAATAAATACTAAAATCTTAAAATCTTTACCTAAGAGTTTTAGGCTAATCTTAGTATATAGCTATAATAGTTTTAGTTATTTTCTAAAAATACATAAAAGTTAAAGTATATTTGTCTTATATTACTAAGCTATAGCTCTTCTAAATAAAAAGATAAACTAACGAGAATATAGTAAGAAAATAATATTCCTTTCTAGATTATATTACTAATAGTTTATATAATAATATATAAATTTAGATTTAGATTTCTATAAGATAAAACTATAAGATCTAGATTTTAGATTACTCAAAATAGTATGCTAAGGCCTAAAAAATGCTAAAACTGTTAAACTTCTAAATTAGACTTTTAGGCTATATAGCCTATAAATTCAATAGGTAACGACTAGAAATTTTATTATTTTCTAAAAATAGATACAAATGAGAGTATTTTTGTTCTACATTGTTAAGCTATAACTCCTCTATATAAAAAGATATATTAAAAAGAACTTGAAGGAGCAAAGATTGCGTTGTTGTCGCTACGGTCAGAAGTGCTGTATTGACAATCTGGTACGTATGGGCCTCCCTACGCGAACCTAATATCACATGAAATTCAAACCACCACAGACTGCACAGCATGCTCCGTATAACGACGTGTCTTGAATCGACTTACATCCGTGGGCTCTCGAGGATTGCCAACCTCGAAGCATGGATGTGAACAAAGGCGACGGAGAACGCGCATCACCGAGGACGATTCGAGAAGTCTCTTCCCACTAGCGGGACATCTGCCATCATGATAGCCTACGCATCCACGGTGCTCGGCGCGTGTATCGAGCACCAACGCTCGAGATGTCGACAGAAGTAGGCGTGCGTGGGAATAGTCACGGGGTCTCAAGCGCTTGCGAAAAGAAGTAAGTAGGCCAATAACCTATCTCGAGACCAGACGAGAATGTTAGCGATTCCTACCTTTATATTCTTACCTGCGTTTTATTATTAGACAATTTGCTTTTGCGGAATATAGCGGTCCGCGTCCCGTATATAGACTACTCCGTAGCGGGCTTAGATAAAAACTATACGAAGCTAAGCAAATTTTTCTACTAATTAGGGCGGGGAATATAGGAATCGCTATTCTCGTCTAGGCCGTTTCTATCGGGATTTCGACTTCCTATATTAAATATTTGTATAGGAGAATCGCAAAACCCTAGTTTTAATACTAGAACGACTATTTCCTACGGTAAAAATTTCTCTCCGTAGCGGGAATACTTCTCTCTATATTACTATCTTTTTCCCGAAGTTTCCTAGATACGAAATCGGGTATAAACATATCGTCGTCGTCGTAGCGCCCGCGTCGCGATATACGCTAGGTAGATACGACTATATTATCGCGTATTTCTATTATAACTATACCCTCCGCGGCTTTCTAGCCTACTTCTATAGGACTATCTCTATCCTCCGCTACGGATAGATATATATCTAGTCGCTCTCCTTCTAGTCTATCTGCCTCCTCCGATCTTTCTAGTATTCTATCTTATAAGTATCCGGGCAACGGGTCTACCGAAGAGAAGGACCTAGCGGATCGCCTATAACTAGAAGTAGATAGTATTATAGATAGTAGTAGCGTTAGTAGTAGCGATAACGAGTCGACCCGCTACGTAACTCGCTAGCCCCGCGCTCGTCGCGATAAAAGATAGCGCTATAAAGAAGTAATACGTAAGATACGGGAAAACAACCTTACTATAGGGAAGGTTATATAGTACTAGGCTAGTAAACTACGGAGTAAGTCCTATACGTATCGCGTCGGCTAGCTCTCTATTATATTAAATACGGAGCTACGCAAATCGAAGTAGGTTAAGTTATCTAGTAGTAAGAATAGTAATATTATTTATAAACTCGATTATCTAATTAGAAAGAGCTTATATAGGAAATAGCGGAGGACTCTTCGATCCGCTACGGAGGTATCCGAGGCCGTAGCGGGCGACTAGGCCGCTACGCTACTCGAACCTATTAATAGATTCGATAATCAATTCTCCGTCTAGCAGTTTAAGGATATATATAAGGTTATTCGGGATATTGCTCTAGCGTAGCATTAATTTGCCCGTAGCGTATTAGTTAGGTAGCGCAATAAAGAGCCGGGTAATCTCGATATACGAATATTTACCCTTACTACCTTTATCCTCTATACTCGCTCTCGGAACAAATCTAATTAGTTTGTAAAGGCATTCGGTCGGTATCTCCTATTAAATAGCGTAAAGCGGAGGGCATTAGATATCCTATCGGGGATTAGTTTAATCGCTACGTATATAGTACTATACTATAAGGAGAAGCTTTCTAGGAGCGAGTAGAAGGTAGTTATTTAATCGCATTATAGTTAACTCGTACTTATTCTATATAGGAAAGGCTCGTCCGGTTAGCGTATAATGTTATATAGTACGTAGTATACGATAATATTAATTTCTAGGATACGGTTCGGGATTAGACTATATCTAATTAGTCGGTTATACGCAATCTTACTACGGCGCTGCTAGTGCGCTTTACTCCGTATATTCGCTATCCCGATACTAGCCTACGTATTAACGATTTTAAGGCAGATACGCGACTAGACGCTATAGATATCTATAATGCCCCTACGCTTAGAGAAGACGAATAGTCTCGGAAATTGTCGATATATTATATATACGCGGCGATTATAAGCATCTTCGAAAATAAGCTCGTAACCGTAGTCGAGGACCCTCGGGTTAAGTCGATTGCGTAGTAGCTAGGACTATGTCTGCTACGGGCCTCTAAAACCGAATTCTACCCGCTTAGTACGATTTACTATAGCGAGAGTACTATCGATAGGAACGCCGCGGTATAAGAGGACATTATACTATATAAGCTGCGCCTTAACCTAGTCGCAGACTTCCTTATACAGTTGTAGCTTTTCTACGGAGATTAATAGTCGGTATAGCGTATACGGAGTAATAAAGGTAAAAATGCTAAAAGTATAAGGCTATTCGAGCGGCGGGATTAGATAATGCCCGTTACGGGACTCTTCTATACCGCTATAAACCTCTATTATATACTAGTTCGCCTTTTCTAGAGTATTAGTTAGGATGCTAGGTCGGAACATAGCCTTTTCTAGGATAAGTAGGCATTTAGTATAAAAGGATTAACCGAGAAAAAACTAAAATACTAGATACTACATCCCGTTGCGCTTTATAGGTACTCCGTAAGGATTATCGCCTTATTCGTTAACTAGCTATACTATAGCGAATATTTCCCTACGGATTCACCTCCTAATTTTAGTAAGCTAAGGGCGGTTACACCTACTATAGTAGGTCTTACTACGGATAAATATCTTCAGTTCTTAGTAGCTATATATAATAGCTACTTGCGGCTTTTAGTATAGCTAGAAAGAGAATAGAAACGGGTATATAGTATACCTAGGACAAAGCTACTCTTACCGTAGTAGATGCGCCGGACTCTGTTACGGTTAGAGCCTATCCTATAGGTATAGCCTAGAATCCGCGATCCTACCTAGACTACACTTTATCGGCGACTCTATATAACCGAGCTCTAGTTAACTCTCCGATATACGACTCGGAATATAGATATTAGTTATATTAAACGTCTCTTGCCGCAGCTCGTAGTAGTATTTTTCGGAGCTAGATAATATAACTACGGGCGCGAGATACTGTATCTAATTTAGCTACTTAAGGGCGTATCTCTATATCTCCGTAGCGCGATTCTAGCCGGCGGCGTTGTAAATATAATAGGTAGGCCTAGGAAAGGGATCGCGGTAGACGAATTGCTCGAACTAATCAATTTACGGTATAAAAATAATATACGAAATTTTAAGAATTCGACGTATAATATAGTAGAAACATTTAATCGTGTTTTATATACTACTTTCGCTATAATGCAAGTAAATAATGCTTTCGAGGACGAATTCGGGATCCGGAATACTACTAATCATTCCTATAAGGATACAACTTACGAAATTTAGGGGCTCTCCGCTCGACTCTTTACTATATACCGTAGCGTAGGCGATCGGTAGCGTAGCGTAGATAATCCTTCTATTATACCTAACCCGTACTAAGCTAGTATTAATAAAATCTATAAGGAAGTGCAGGATTTCAATACAAAATATCTACGTAAAGGCGTATCTATAGCTATAGCATCCGATACAGATTTAGATACTTACGATACGGGACTAGATACGGATTAAAATACAATGTTTGAAAATGTCGAAGATATAATACTAGATATATTAGACCTACTAACAGTTTAATTATATAACGTCTATTTTAGGAAGTTTTACGCGAAGTTCTAATATTTACTTCGACTTTAGCGGTTGTTTTTTTTTACTATACTACTATTATACTCCCGAATCCGTACCCTATATCCGAAAACTCGAACGAACTAGAAGGACGGACATTCGAATAAGAGCTACGGAAGTACTTTAAGCCGCCGCGGATAAGAGAGTAGTAGCAGAATGCCTTCTATAATTAGATTTATAGTATCTAATAGCTCTACTCGGCCCTCGTATCGCATTATACAATAAGAATAATACTAATACTACTCGAGAAACACTATCTATTCTATCGTACCGATACTAAAAGACCTAGAGCCGGTAAAATATTAGAGAAGAAGCAACCTATAGAAGCAAAGAAAGTCCGTAGCGGGCTAGCCCTCGCCCGTATCTACTCTACATTCTTGCTATAATACTACTCGCGAGCTACCTTAGGACTAATAGTACGCAAGTAACGGCGTACTTCTACCTTAATCTCTTCGTCGATAACGATATTAGCTAGTAGGAGCGATAGGTAGAGAGTGCGGCTCTTAGATAGGCCGTTATAACTAGCGTAGTAGACCGAGCGGCCGTTAGCGTATATCGTGCCCTATATCTATCCGCTATTCGTATCGCGCTCCTTATTTAGGCCCTTAAGGAGCTCCTTAAGGACGTCGCCGGATCCGAGGCGGAACTTCTCGATAATACTACGGAGTTTATATATATACTCGCGCTACTTCTTTTCCTATACCTTCGGGTCCTTCTCGGCTAATCTACGTAGCGTTTCTAAGACATTAAAGGCACGATTAAAGATAACTTTATTAAATTAGAAGCTCCTACCTATTCACTCCTAGATAGCCTATCTAGTCGACTATCGTAGTAGCTAGTCGTAGGTCCGCTTCGCTTACCCGCTATAGTACCGATTATATGTCTACTATCGCGTACCTATACCGTCCTTACTATATATAGTCTTAGCTTGTCTCGGTTGTATAGCGCCGTCGTAGATCTCCTTTAAGTAGCGACTATAGTTATATAGACCTATAAGTAGTAGGCGGCCTTCGAATCGAGGGGATATCGATAGCGTACGTTAGGAGAGTGCTATATTCGATATCGGTAGCGATATAATAGACGTATTAGACCTACCGGAGAACGGTATAGATTGCTACGGAGTCCTAGTCTAATCCTACGGAGTTCGTATACTACCGCTACTACCGCCGTACTACCCGCTACTATTACCGCTACTACCTAGTAGTGCGATCCGATTCTTTTCCTTCTATATACGCGCCCTAGCTAGGGTAGTATTTGCCCTATCCTTAGATGCGGCCTTTTCTATAGCTTCTTATCGGAAGATATTATCTTATAGCTACCGCGTAGAGTCTCGACTACGATACGCTACCTCGCGTAGGTTTTACGCCTACTACTCTAATAGAATCCGCTTACGAGGATCGGCGTTTAGAAAGACTAGCCGCTACGGAGTGCTACCTGCCCGCTACGGAGTATTATTAGATATACTCGTATTCCCGCCTAGAGTAGTAGTATTACTAGGAGCAGTAGACTAGTCCGGTATAGTACCGCCTATAACAATACTACTACTAGGGCTTATTTGCTAGATAGTCGTATTATTATCCGAAGGCGAGATCGAGGCGCTTCTTATTACTTATATTATAGATTCTTATATATTATCGAAGACATTAGCGCTAGAACTAGATTCGCTAGAAGTATAGCGAGCCCCTCTTATAATAGCCTCGTAGCGGAGTTAATAGGTTCCGCCGCGGGTTAGACCTACGCCGAATCGAGGCGGTAGTGCTAGGCCTAATATTATTACTAAGCCTAGTGTTAGTGCTAGGCCTAAGCGTAGGCTAAAGATTAGTATTCGATCGCGCGTAGTACGATCGACGAGGCGGCCTCTATTATACTAGTTATTCTACGTTTCGAAAGGGACGCGCTAGTTGTCTTCTTCGTACGGAGCGCCGCGGAGATCGATATAGCCCGCCTCGAAATTCTCGTTTACGCGCGCGCGTAGGTCCTAGTCTGTCTCGTCTAGCTAGCGTATACTTGCCTCTATATCGTTAATCTTATACTATAGTAGAAAGATCTAACTCGGCTCTAGTAGAGTAGATAACGCTGTAAGGCGACGCGTATACTCCGCGTAGCCTCCTAGATTCGAGAACTTAGATAAGGTATCGCTACTAGGAGTAGGTCCTCGAAATTAAAGATAGCGACTACTACTACGACTATAAGTTAGGAGATAGGGAGTATTACCGCCGCGGCTTAGAGTACTACTACCGCGAGGAGTACTACCGCCGCGAGGAGCACTACTACTACGAGGAGCACTACCGCCGCGAGGAGTACCGCTGCCGCGAGAAGTACCGCCGCCGCGAGGAGTACCGCCGCCGCGAGGAGCACCGCCGCCGCGAGGAGTACCGCCGCCGCGAGAAGTACCGCCGCCGCTATTACTACCTAATATATCGTACGACTTAGAGGTCTTAAATATAATTAGAGATTCGTTAATAGGAAGCTTAGAGGTCTTATTTAAAGGTAGTAGAGGGAGGCGGATCTATCGACGCGGACAAAGAAGGCACCGCTACGGGCAAGACTTAATAGTCTTATTTAGAAAGTCTTAATTAGAAGTAGTCGAAAGTAGTAGAAGGTAGTAATCGCTATATATATATAGAAGAAGGAGAAGGAGAAGAAGTCGAAGAAGCGTCCTTTTAAATATAGCTACTACGCGTACGGATAGCGTATAAAGTAAAGTTCGGAACAAACGCGTTATATACGTTATACGTATAATAGTAGAATAAGGCATATACGGCGGAAGTTAGGCTATACGTAGCGGAAATAAAGCTATATATAACTAGAAATAAGACGACTAAAGAAGGCGCGATCTAAGTCTTCTATACTAGAGTAAATAAAGGTCTACTCTAAAACTAGAGCTAGAGCTAGATCTAATACCCTAAAATACTATCTTACCCGTTACGGGACCTTCGTATTCCGTAGTAGGCGACTAGACGGCGACGTAGTATATTAGTATACTCTACTAAAATAGGACTGTTTATAGATTAGTATCTTTAGCTCGGGAGGCTCCTTACGACGACGTTTTTTCGATAGTGTTCCTATATCGGAAGCAGATTTAGGTGTATTAGGTCGCCTACGCTTCGATCTAGCAGCTCTCGTAGGTAATAGCTCTTCCGTAGTAGAGAGGGCTAGGTCCGTATCTAGTAGGAACTCTAATACGTACCTAGAGTCGAAGCTCGCTACTTCTAGTCGCTACTGCCCCGTTAGGCCCGATACTAGATATATAGTAGTATCCTATATACTCGAAGGACTCCCTTATAAAGATCGATACCTATTAATTACTACAGATCTAGCAGGTACGCTACTATCTCCGCCGTAGGATTAATTAGAGCCGCTACTAGCCTATTCTCTAACCTCGAGTATACTCTTTATTAGCGCTATTTTCCGCAAATTAGTTATACTACCGGTTTCCGGTGCTCTTCTCTACTAAATTCGGCGTCCTTAACTAGCGATAGCTAACGCCGCTATATTTATATTATTCTTCTACGTAGACTATAGATACGCTCGGCGCTAGTCGTCTAGCATCTCTATAAGCAACGTATCTTCGGCTTCCTTCGTAGCGCTCGCTACCTTAGCTATAGCGGCCTTCGCTACCTACGCTACCTTATACTCTATCTATTTTAAGACTATATCTTCTTTAATATACTATATAAACTAGACGAGGAGATCGAGAAGAGTAACGGTTTCGATACCGCTAGATTCGTTACTATCTCCGCCGCTAGAATCGGCTGCTCCGCTACTCCCGAAAGTAATCGTCTTATCGCGGTACTCCTATATATCGAGTATATACCTAATCCGATGTTTTATCCTTCTCCTAACTACTAGCTAATCTAACTTACTTCTAAGTATATCGCTATCGAAGGTATCCTAGTCTATACTCGAATAATCCTAGTAGATCCGATAAAGGCTATATATAAGCTGCTTATCTATTAGTGTATTCTATAGCATTCTAAATCTATATTCCCCCGCTGCGCGATCCTCGAGAACCGTAATATACTACTCCGTTAACTGCGCAAATGCGAAACTAGGCCTCGAATTAGGTACTAGTCGGGGAAGGCTATTCTACCTATCCGGCGGTATAGGCAGTTTACTCCGTATATTATAGTTATACCGATTGTAGTAGACTTTGCTTAATACGGATACCTTCGGGTCTAAGCACTTATCCTCGCTAAGCTTATCGTCCTACACTTTGCGAATATATAGCGCATTCTATATATTAAGCAGATCCCCCGGGACTACTACGCGGCGGCTCGCTATAGCATTTAACTAGTAGGTACCGCGTATACGAGGCGCGCGTAAAGCTATAGGCGTAGCGGAATTGCCGTCCTTAGTATCGGTATTCTTATCTTCTCGATTACTATTAAGCGAGACATCGACGTTAAGTATTAAGTATAATCCTTCCCGCTACGTCTAGAACTTGCCCTTACGGGCGACGCGAGGTCCGCTACGGACCTTGCTACCCTCTACCGGCTAATCCCTAAGCCGTTTTTTTATATTCCTTATCTACGCTAGCTAGAATACGAATACCTCGCTACGAAGATTACTCGGAACTATATTCCGACCGGTATGCCTAAGACGCTAGCGAAGATTTACTTAGAGTGTGTGTCTAGGTATTAGGGTCTATTACGTGCCTAATACCTAAGGCTGCAACTGCTACACTTTATCTTCGGACTTCTAGATAGATTAGTCCTTCTTCTAATATATTAGTTACATTAAGTAGTTATAAGCCCCCTACGTTTCTAACGCATTCTATACGTATTCTAATAGTTACTCCGATAGCTACGTAGATAGCGCTCGTTACTAAGAATTGCGCCGATACTAATATCGTCGCCGCCGCCGCCGCCCTCGAGTATTCTAGTAGGTACTAGACTCGAGTCGGTTACTATTAGTATTAGCTGTCCGCTATACCGGTTCCTAATAATAGTGTTAGCTGTCCGCTATACTAGAACATAGGTGCGCCTATCGGCCGCCTCTTAAGACTATATTATCGCCGTCGCTATCCGCAATAGCTCCCCCTATAACCTCTAGCGCTTATATAAGCAACATCCCTAAGCTAAAGAATAAGGAGAATTACCTATTATAGTCGTACGCCGCTAAAGGCGCCCTTAAAGGTATATCGGTCTAGCGCTATATATAAGGCACCTACTAGCGACCCCTTTCTAAGGCCTCTAGTAAGTCTTCTAAGGAGTTTAAAGACCGCTAAGATAAATAGGACTCTAAAGATCAAATAGCGCGTACCTAGATCTTTGCTAATTATATTAGTAATATTTAACAATTACTACTTAGTCTGTCTACATCCTAGGAAGTATAGGACTTCCTTAAGAAGAAATATACTAGTAAAGGTAGGTCTACTAAATTTATACTCTACTAGGAATATATTACCCTTCGGTATAATAGCAAGGACATTAAGAAGTTCTATAATAAGTATAAGAAGAAGCTTAGTACCTTAAAGGATACTAAATTAGCTATTAGCTAATACTAGGCTATCTATATGTTTATTATATAGATCTCTCTATTCTACGAGGCTTTCGTATAGATGCGCCGAAAGCAGATACGCGCCTCCGAATATACTATTAACGATAACATACTTAACAATATTATTAGCGCGTTGCTTAATAAGAATATAGCTTAATTAAACTAGGCCTAATATAATAGCTTCTTTAGACTTTAGCGCCTACTATAGTAGTAAGGTAGCAATAGCAACAACAATAGCGGTCGAGGTAACTCGAACCGTAGCGGTCGTAGTAGCCGCGGAAATAGCAACAATAGTCGTAGTCGTAGTAGAAACAGCTAGAATAGTTAGAATCGCGAGAAGTGCTTATACTACTAAGGCGCTTACCTATCCGATCGGTGCTATACTAAATACCCTTATCTAAAGGAAGAAGACCGTCTTCGTCGCGAGAAGCAGAAGGCTAAGAAGAAGCAATAATAGGCGTTAACTACTTAGTAGCAATAGTAACCGCTATCTAGTTAGAATAGTGCTTAGGGGCTATATACGGCTAATACTACCCCGGGGGTATTATTAGACCTAAGCTACAATTACGCCTTTATAGCTACGGTTACTATAAGCGACCTAGTGTCTACGGCTCTTACTACTAGCTATAAAGGGCTACGCCCTAGGTAGAAAGCGCTAGCCTTAGGCATTCGGCCTACGCGACTCTAACCTACTACTTAGCGCTTAGCGTACCGTACAAAACCATTCGGATTTACGTAGATAGACTTAGCTCTTTATCGAACCTATTAAGTCTTATATCTAGCATCTATATACGCGTTGCTTACCCGTAATATTAGGTTCGATCTTTAATATAGGAAACGCGGAGGTTTATTAGGAATCCGAGTAAGATAGCTAGGGGAACGCTGCCCCTACTATACTAGAGATAACTAGGGACGAGATCTATCGTACCTTCGAGAGTCTCTATACTAGATAGTAGACGATAGAAGCCTAGCTACAAGCTACTCGTTCTGCGCTCTAATACGCGGAAGCGTCTCGCTAGCCCGGGCCTCCCGAAGCTAGTTTAGTTCGAGACTAGTCTACGAACGAGATCCTAAAAGGACTGCTAGAAACTCTTTCGGCTTCCGGCTAAAACGTAACGGCGTCCCGCGAGTAGAAACTACTATCGTAGGATAAGAAAGCCGAGTCGTTCCGGGACTACCTACTACGACTAAGAAGTTTATACCGAGTTCGTTCCGGGCTAAAACTAAAGCTCTCCGAAGATTACTACTAGGATACCGTATACGATACCCTACCGGTAAAGGAACGCGCTAGGATGCGCTACTTCTAGGAAAGAGGAAGCCTTACGAAAGGAAAGGACCTTAAAGCTTTCTTCTAGCAACTCGAGGACGTCTTCGCGGATAGTAACGAAGCTACAAAGGCGCTAGAGCAACTCTAAGCCCTAAGGCACTCCTAGGGACAACCTTAGTACGACTACTAGCTAGAATTCGACGGCCTCCTACTAAGCGTAGGCGGAGACCGTTAGATAGACGATACGAAAATCGGGTATTTAAAGAATACCTTCTCGAACGTAGCTAAGACCTATACTACCGCCGTACTAAAGATTAAGGATTACTACCTCTATACGGAGGAGGTCGAGCGGATTATAACGAACCTCGAGTCGATAGATTAGTTTAAACAGGCTACGAAACGCTAGTAAGAAAGGAAGAAAGAAGTAGCGAGTCCTACGGTCGTTATTCCCCCCTATATAGCCCCCGCGACGAACCCGAAGGTCGACTCTAATAGAGACGTAGTTATAAATCCCGCTTAAACTAACGCTTTCTATAGAAAGAACCGCGGAGCCTAACAATCGACGGCGGGGAAACCTAGGGCTAAATAGGTCGACTCTATAGAAAGAGAGAAGCGTAAGTACTAAGGAGAAAAGGCTCTACTTCCGCTATAGAGCGAGCGGATACTATATTCGAGATTGCCCGTACGCCCCGCCGGCTTAGCCTACTAAGATTAGTGTCGCCTCCGTATAACCTATTCTAGAGGATGCGGAAGAATAGTCGGACTTAAGTAGTTCTAACTCGGGAAAAGAGTAACTCCTACTCGTAGTTAGGAGTCGGGAGTAGATAGAGTACGGATAAGGAAATAGGAAGAAGTTAAAAAGGATATAAACGGGAATCTTATATATACCGATATAGTCCTCGAAAATAACGTCGGAACTTCTGCTCTTATCGACGAAGGATGCTAGTATTACGCTATAATTAATACGGGCCTAGCTAAAGGCCTCGAACTTAGCTATATTAGCCGTAAGTCCCGAGAAGTAAAAGGAGCGTCGTCGGTAATATAAGACGCGAAAATTATAGGAGTCGTCGCCTTCTAGATAGAAATTAACGAATTCTAATAAACGGTATACGCTTACGTCGTACCGGGATTAGCTTTTCCCCTTATCCTAGGGAACCTATAGAAGGCATATAATAAGGTTAGGACCGCGCCTAAGAAACAACGGTACTACTATAGGAGGGCTCGATATTAGATTAAAGAAGGGCGCTATTACTACGAGGTCGATACAAACGGGAATATCGCTACGATTAACGCTATAAGAAGCCTACTTACTGCGATAATTGCCGAGGACATTAAAAAGGCCCTAAAGACGAAGGAATACCCGACGATCGAGAAGCTAAAAAAGAAGCTACCTCCGGAGGTTCGCGATATAGCCGCGCTATTTTATTAAAGGGAAGCCGATAAGTTAGCGCCCTATCGTCCTAGTATCGACTATACGATAGAACTCTAGGAGAAACTAGACGGATCCTAGCCTTAACTCCCTTAGGGTCCGCTCTATAGTATATCGAAGTAAGAACTCTTAGTCTTACGGAAGTCGCTAGACGAGCTACTAAAGAAGGGGTTTATAAGACCGGCGAACTCCGAAGCGGCGGCGCCCGTACTGTTCGTTAAGAAGCCCGGGGAAGGACTGCGGTTCTACTACGACTATAGGGCGCTTAACGCTCTAACGAAGTAGGATAGATACCCCCTCCTACTAATCCCGGATACTATAAGGAACCTAACGGAGGCCCGGTAGTTAACTAAGGTTAACGTAGTCTCGGCCTTCTATAAGATTAGAATAGCAAAAGGATACGAGTATAAGACAGCCTTCCGGACGAGGCTAGGCTCGTTCGAGTAGCTAGTATACCCGTTTAGTTTATCCGGAGCTCCGGCTACATTTTAATAGTATATTAACACTCTTCTATAGGAGTATCTAGACGACTTTGCGTTAGCGTATATAGACGACGTAGTTATCTACTCGAGCGGGTCGAGGGAAGACTATTTCCGTAAGGTAAGAGCGGTGCTTAAGAAGCTTTAGGACGGAGGCCTTTACCTCGATATTAAAAAGAGCGAATTCGCCTAGAAAAAGATTAAGTACCTAGGATTTATCGTTTACGCCGACGGAGGAGGAGTATTAGCCGACCCCGAAAAGGTAGAAGCCGTACGAAAATAGATAGCACCTAAGACCTAAAAGGAAGTTCGTCGTTTCTTAGGATTTACGAACTACTACCGTATATTTGTACCGAACTATTCTAAGATCTCCGCACTATTAACTACGCTTACCGGCAAGGGAACCCCGTTCGCCTAGGGAGAAGAATAGAACAAAGCGTTTAAGACGCTAAAGGACAAATTCTACCGTGCCCCGGTACTTGCCTAGTAGAACCCGTCTCTCTCTACCTTCCTTAAGACGGATTATAGTAGGTTCGCGATTAGGGGCGCCCTTATCTA